CCTCAGGTCAGGAGAATGGCCGAGGACAGGAGAAACAGTAGCTGGAGACAACAGGTATAGTCTTTGTGAATGGTTGAAGGAGAAAAATCTCAGCCACAGCTTTTCAATTTCCCTCTTACTAAAGTGTACATAGTATACAAGGAAACACAGAACCAGCTAATTCCAGGCTGGCAAAGATTAATCTGCTTTACAAAATTTTCCTTAAAAAACTGAACATCTCAAAACCAACCACAGGAAATAAGTGGTACAAGACATCCCTGAACCCAAAACTCTACATGTAACAGTTCAAAATATTTAAATAAAGACTTTTACATCAGATTTAGGGAATAAAATATAAGATAAATTATTATGCACCCTACTTTTTCCTCACCAAATCTTCAGGTCATTAGGCAATTTCTTAAGTGTCTCAGGTAAGAAAAAGTATTCTCTGGGGGTAGATAATTTTCTGATTTTGCACTAACAGATTTTTTGCATTTTAATGTGTCTGGACATACTGACCTCAATTCCCTTGTAAGCGCGTCAGACAGAATACAGAAGTTAAAGTTGCTGATCTAATCTGATGCCTCTTTACTTGCAAAGAAGTGTTTTTTTTTTCAAAAAGAGGCTTCTTTGAGGGGGAAAAGTCTGAAGAAAAAGCAGAAAACGTGCCTATCCTATCTTTAACTTAGAATACTTTCTCTTTAGTATCATTTTGACTCTCTGCCCAGAAACTCCAACGTAAGCCTCTTGATTGCAGCAGTCACAAGAGAATCAAGTGTTTGCAGAAGGCTGTGGAAGCAGGAGAGATGTTTCCTACTTTTGGGTCATAGTCTAACTGAATAAACTCAGCCCCTTAAAATTTTATTAAGTTTAAACAAGGATTTATACGTTTGGAAAAATGGTGCTTGGAAACAAAATTTAAGAAAAAAAAAGAGAAAGGAATGAAGAATGTAATATAACCACAGGAAAGCAGAGGTGTTTCTCCCTTTCACTGTTCTTAATTAAAATAAAAAAAAAAAAAAAAAACCCCCCTGACACTGAGAAGGATTTGTTTAGTCCTCCACTGTCACCAGTGCCGATGGCTCTGGGACAGGAAAACATCAAGGATTTGGGGGCCTGCTCACACCCCTCCATTTCGAGCACCTTGCCCTGGCTAAGCCAGACTTCCCAGTCCCAAGGTGGGCAGCATCTCCCTGGGGCAGTCCTGTCCCTGTCCCCAGGTGCCAAAGAAGCTTTTCTCTGACCCGGTGCCCAAGCTCAATGCTTTCTGTCTAGAAAATCACTTTCCCTGCACTTCTCCTCCCAGCATTGCCCCTTCTGTGCACCCCCCTGGCACAAACTCAGCCCCGGGGACTCAGCCCTCTCCTCCCAAACATGACCGAAGTCAACAAAACTGGTGCAGATTTCCCAGACTCCCTCAGGGAAGCTGAAGAGGCTCAAGAAACTCAGGGGGTTTTCTCCCTTTCACTTTTTTTAAATAAAAAAAAAAAAAAAAAAAAAAAACACCCTGAGACTGAGAAGGATTTGTTTAGTCCTCCACTGTCACCAGTGCCGATGGCTCTGGGACAGGAAAACATCAAGGATTTGGGGGCCTGCTCACACCCCTCCATTTCGAGCACCTTGCCCTGGCTAAGCCAGACTTCCCAGTCCCAAGGTGGGCAGCATCTCCCTGGGGCAGTCCTGTCCCTGTCCCCAGGTGCCAAAGAAGCTTTTCTCTGACCCGGTGCCCAAGCTCAATGCTTTCTGTCTAGAAAATCACTTTCCCTGCACTTCTCCTCCCAGCATTGCCCCTTCTGTGCACCCCCCTGGCACAAACTCAGCCCCGGGGACTCAGCCCTCTCCTCCCAAACATGACCGAAGTCAACAAAACTGGTGCAGATTTCCCAGACTCCCTCAGGGAAGCTGAAGAGGCTCAAGAAACTCATCTGTAACACCTTAAGTCAACAATATCAGTATTTCCACTTTTGGTCCTTCTTTCTGCTCCAAGATAAGTTTTGCTCTAAAGGCATCTTGCAGATGGCTACTGAAGATGCTCCATCTCCTGAGATTCATGCTAGAGGAATTTAGTTACCACACCTAGATATATACTCCTCACCACAACCACCACCACCACTGTCCTCACAGCTGTTAGACTTTCTCAGCTACTTCCCAGTTCATTAAGGTGACCTAGACCAAGGGACTTTGAACTAAGGTGACTGATGGACAGGTTCACCTTTACTCTGCAGGTCCCACTACTAACCTTCACGGGACAAGCAGGCACTTGAAACCTTAAAAACAGCCCCCAAATGAAGACTCAAAGTGTGAGTGATAGCCTTTTGCAGGTTGCCATGCCTCTGTGGGATGGAGCTGAATTCCTGGCCTCCACTGTTCACATAAGTGTTGAGTCTTACAATTCCATCCCTGATCTTTTGCTCCTTTCTATGTGATATTTCAGAGTTGCATTAATGGTACCAGCTCCAAGGACTTACCAGACCTCTGAAGAGCTGGGCCAGCAGCTGGATATCATGGAAGAACAGGCACACCACTTAAAAACACTGTGATACTCTTGTCTCCCAGACTTGGCATGGGGAAGCACTTGGGCTTGGCACTACTCTGAGGTTTAAGTGATCATACTTGCACTTGGGATATTTATAATTTTTCTGCACTTGTAGGCCAGTCATTTGTTGTCACCTGATGGGACCTGCAATAGACTCTCAGAACATGATAAATCTCTGTGCCTACATTTAATGTCTCCAAAGAAAGATCCCATGGGGGTTGCTTCATGTGTAATATTTAAGCCAGGCTAATCTAATTTGGTAACCAAATGGCAAAGCCTCTCTATGGCAGAGAGAATCTATCACCTTTGCAAAAACCACACAGAATAAACTGGAATTACCACAACTGGCAACAGTTGACCTGAATAAGGAGTTTATTTTAGGTTTTAATTTTCTATTTTGTTCTGCCTGCAATTAAAAATAAATGGTATAAAGCTGGTTTATAAAAACACTACCAAACAAAAAACCTCTTTACCTAAATTAAAAACAACAACTGTGAGAGGGAAATACTCCACAACATTTAGAGTTCTGCAGGGACCAGTATATGTATAGGGATTTTAATTTTCCATGGCCTGTAAGCGTTGTAATCTCTATCAATGGCGTGCACTCTGGGACCATGACTAACACCAGTGCTCGAACTCTGATTGGCTGCTGGTTTCTTTCTTCTTTCTTTACCACTGTTTTTAAATTCACATTTGATCCAGTAATTTGCAGGGATAAAGAAGCTTTTGCAGCAATCTGTTCCTTTCAAGTTTAACCCACAGGTCTGTTATAGGACATCGTGTCAACAAATCACAGATGTCTGCGAGTCAATGCAACCAGTGCGAACGGCCACAACTTGTCTCAGGGACAAAGGACTGCCTTCATGTTTTTACCTACTAATAGTCCTTTCTTTGCATCCATGGCAAATATACCACCGCACTTTGCGAGAGTTATTTCTCCAAACCCACTCTGTGTTTATCTCGTGCGCTGTGCCTTGACATCGCAGGAATAGTTACAACCATTGACTTCTCCAGAATCCTCTAAAGCCATGAGGTCTCTGCCTTTTCTAACTCACATATCCCATCTTTGGAGATGTATTCTTGCCCAAGCTGCTTTCTCCCTTTAGTTTTCAGTGCAAGGCTGTCCAGAATGAACAGCTTTGGTACTGCACAGACTTCTGTTTCAGTACTGCCACGTTAACCGCCTTGTTATGTTCTTCTTACTCATGCTAAAGCAATGCTTCACTTTCTAGGACTGGATTAACTGGAAGAGCAAAGGGTTTTCATCCCATTCTTTACCATCAACCACTCTTTCTAATATTTGAAAATGATAACCAGATAAGGAAAAAGAGAAGACGTGGCCATTTGTCCAGAATTTAAGGACCTCTACTTGTCCAAGATGATGTCTTTCTGCTACCATCGAGGGACAGGCTTATTCTGTAATAAGTGACATGAAAGAGCAGCTCCAGCTGCTGCTGGGTGTCATTTACTTTTCTACCTGGAACTTCTGAGAGGAACATACAAGACCTTTGGGAAAACATCCATGTCATGCAGTGTGGCCAGGAGACCTCACAGCCAGGTTGGGGCCCTCCTCGCTTTCCCAGCTGTTCCTCTGAGAAACAAGTGACCCCAAAGAGACCTGTGCAAATCAAGATAGCGCCAGCAAGATAAGATGTCTCAGAGACCTCTGCCTCAGTCAACAGACTGAGCGTACCCTGTCTCAGTTCTCTCTTGAAATCACACATTTATCCTTGATCTGCGTTTGCTAATGGTAAACCATTATCATGATTTAACAGACTTCCATTGGCAAAACACATACAATACTGTGTCTGCCAAGGTCCACTCCAAGTAAGTCACTGCACCTGAGACAGGAACCTGGGAACATTTATCAAAAGAAGGAGAAGTAGGAGATGACAACTAAAGACCACGTTTCCACAGAATTAACAGGAAAGGGGAACGAGGAACCTATGTAATAAATGAGAATCTCAGAGTTCGCCACAAACTACCAAACTGGTCTGGAAAGAAGATTTCTGCTCCATTGAGAGTTTTTAATAGCATTGGATAACTAAGATAAACAGAGACGGAAGGGCTGCCTGAGACACATACAAAATTATTGAATTATGACATGTTTGAGAAGTTATTTACTTTATAGAGTATTTACATAAGGTCCACTTCCTTTTCATATATAAGCTCAAATATTACAGGAGTCCGCCCCCCATCCTCCTTAATGAGTGGACTACATTCAACAGCCCCACAAACATCCACAATTAACTTTTTTTTTTTCAGGCACATTCCTAGGAAAGTTTTCCAGGCAGTCCCTTCCCCAGAGCCCAAGGACTACCAAGGAAACCCCACTCTGACCAGGCAAACAAGGCATGTGGAGAAAGAAAACAGAGGGCATCAAAAGAAAGAGAGGAAGAGGAAACAAAGTGATGACCGGGGCACCACTATTAAAACAGCTGATTTAGTCTCCATTAGCTGGCTCACCCGCAACATTTCATCTTACCTGAGAAGTGTCATGGTTGAATATGACAGCATTCAGGTCTCCACAGTTATAATGCTTGATGAGATCTTCAGTGGTATATGGGGCCTGCAAACTACCCGCTCGGAGGCTTTCATGTTGGAGCAGAGTTTGGTTTAGGGCAAATAGCACCTGTAGAAACACACACAAGAAAAACAAGGGAGAAGTTAAAGATATTAGGAATCAAAGCAGCAAAACCTGAAAGGCCAAACTTTGAAAAACTCTCCTGCACCTGAAGGCTATTGACCTGCCCGGCCCACAGTAACAAGGGCTGATCTTTAGGCATTCCCAACTGGAAGGGGAGTCAAATACAAGGTCCCCTACTAGCAGAAGACCTTATTATAAAACCCTTGATGTTCCACACAAAGAATAACTTCACACACGTTTATATATTTCTCAGAGGTCATGATCTGAGAACTTTTAGGCTATCTGTGCTGACTACTTGGCTACGTGAGAGACATCAGAATCAAAAAGCTCCTAAATTAGGAATCTCCTCTTGCCTCTGACTGTTTCCTGTCTGCTAGCTAAAATCAAAAGTTCAAACTCAGTTGGAAGGTTTTTGAAGTTACAGTTATTGTACTGGGACTTTGCATGCTTCTAGCAGCAGAAACTTCAGGAAACCAATTATTAGCCTCCCTCCTTTAGTCTTTCCTCCTTTGCCCACCCTTTTGCAAAATTAACAGATACTGAATTGTAACACCATCCCAGCAGACTAGTCGTGTGTCCCCGTCCCATCCCTTGAAAATAACCAAGAAAGCAGAAGCACTCTTTACTATGTAAATTTAGGTAACCAAAAAAAAAAATATCCTTACAAATTATATTTTTTCCTTGCACTACTAAATTTCACATAAGTTATCATAAATATTTTTATATTTATGATAGGCTGTGGGAGTAATTTATACCAGTTACTGAAACACCAAGTCTGGGCTTCTCATGTTCAGCTTTCAAGAAGCTTCCAAAGAAACTTGATAAGAAGTAGATGAATAAATCAGAAGAACAGCAGTTAAGACAGTTTGTCACAAATTATATAAATAAGAAAACACACTTTTCCTCAAATACAGTGATATGTAGTGACTGCAAATTCCAAGTTCTGAAAAATTATATTGATCTGTTGTTTTTCATGAAAAGACTCTTGCATCCCTCAGCCTCACATTTCACCACATTTTCAGCTTCTCTCATTTATAACAGCAGCGCCCTACCCATCCCAAAGAATAATCATCGTTCCGAAATCTGGGTAAGGTAACCCATGCCGAGCTCCAGGTGACCCAGCAAGGCTGCAGTCTGTGACACTTATTCTTATTGACCTTCTTAACTTTAAGCAACTGAACCCGCTTTAAGGAGTGAACCCCAGAGGAGTTTAAAATTAACAATGTACATGTACAATGTATTTGCAGGATGGAAGTTCTTATTAGTTTAAAATTACAATTTCCATCTGAAGGAGAGGAAACAGTCAGTTAGATTTACTCCTGCAAAACCTCAGGTATATAATAAATATGATCTGAGATTTTTTTATAATAACAACAATAATAATCATCATCATAGTATCTCCAGAACATTAGCAGCCTCTTAATACACAGTGGTTACATGCTAACTAAAATACACAAATTAGTTGAGGAAAAGCAAATTTTTTTTTTAATCTACCTTAAAAAAATATAAAGACGGTCTTTCAACTGAACTTGTTATACCTCAATTCGGCAATTGGTTCCCCATTAAGATCCAAGCCTAAAAGATTTCCTTGCCCAGATCTAAGGGTTTCTTCAGGCTTTTCTACAAAGGGATCAATCTTTCCCAGGACCACAGTCTGCAGATAAGCATCTTCCTAACTTAGTTTTTCTCTAATTTAAAAAATCTGCAAAAAATACAGTTTGAAAAATTTCTAACCTTTGAAAGGATCTGAGCTTTTTCTTTTTCCCCTAAGGGCTACAGCTCGAAGAGGAAATGGTTCATCCCAGGATTTCCTGGGGATTCTAAACATTTTGGCTAATAAAAATAAAAGCTTAGAAAAACGTTGACAGGAAAACTGAGAGCAGAGGTTTTCCCAAAATGCTTTTAGTAAAATCCTCCTCATTTTTGATTTTTTAAACAATGGATGTTGCTGGATTTTTATATACAAAAATATGTATACACACAGGCACACACATATACAAACCACTAACAAACCCTCACAATAAGACAGTGTGTTTTATGATAAAATATTAAGAAAGCAATAAACAAATCCTTAGTTTTTTCTCTTCTTTTCTTTTTTTTTTTTTTTTTTTTTTGCTTTTCTGTATTTTTTGTTGTTGTTGTTATTGTGGCTTCCTGAGGAAGTGCATTAATGCTCTGGGCTGGTCTGTCTGTCTCCTCCTAATAAATTTAGCAAATATTACCCGATTTCAGTCATATTTGCAGAAGGTTAGATGCATTAAAGAAAATTGCCCATATATTCCTTGAATATGAGTGCCAGGCTGAAGAAAAGTCCATACAAGTTCACTTCTTGTAAGACACTAAAGACTATACATGAAAGAATGAGTTATTTAGAGTTCCCAGAGTAGCAGATGGACCCACATGCACTGGACCCCAGATTTCATTAGTGTCAGGGTGTTCAAGTCCCCATTCTCTACCTCTGAGCAGCTTTGGGACCTTGAGGTGATGCTGCCCACCAGCTGGCCTCCAGCACGCTCCTACCACTACAGGGGAGGTCATTGCGGGGTTCAAACTACTGCCCAAAAAGCAACTCAAGAGATTTCATTTTAGGACAAAAGTTAAAATTAGAAACTCAAACACTTGAATATGCTAAAGGAAAACTGTAACCACTTGAACAGCTTTCTAGAGAAGTCTTGCTTAATCAAGCCACAACCACCATGGTTTTCGGTCGGGCAGCTCAAAACAAAGAGAAGTGGGGTCTCCTCGCAGCTCGTTGGCTGGATTTGTAGACCATTTCCTTCAGAGTCAGCTTAAAGTCATCTTAAAACCTGAATTTATTTTTTCTTACTGTTCAGATAATGCCACAAAAAACAACGCTGTTTCCTTTCCTTCTCTCTCTCTTAATATCAGTGACCCCACGACCTCCAGCCTAAACCCCTATCTGAGTTAAATCTCCCAGAGGTGCCTGAGATTACTGAACAACTGACAACTTCAAAATAAACACACTTAGAGCGACTGCCTATACACAGTCCCACCTAATAAATATAGCAGACAGTATTTGCTCTGGAAAGTGATGGGAAGTTATGACTTTAACGCCAGGAAAGTGCATTTTTATTCATGCAACTTCTGGTCCTCACATCGGCGCACGTTGAAAGCCATTTTTGCACGTCTGCCCCCTGTTTGTGACTGATCAACTACGGACAACAGAAAGAGGTTTTCACGCTTCCAGGAGGAAGCCTTTTTATCTGAGTGGTGTCATTCTCCCATGCAAAGCAGCAGCTCAATGCACAGATTTTATCTGGGTGTTTGGAGACACCAGATCAGGCCTCGGGGTGAACCTTTGGGTCCTGTTTTACTGCCCAAGAGGCTGGGTACCACCAGCCCTACACAGTGCCAGGGCACAGACCAGTGGCCCCAGTCCAGACTTTTTGGGAGGTCTTCTGCACAGACTATGACCATCTCAAGAAAAAAGGGGCTGGACCAGTTATTTCTGCCACGGGAAGGTCAGATGAGACGCAGGAGACCTGAAACAGGGAAAAGCTCATGCAACACTGGTGACTTTGAAGGTTCCCGACCCGGGTTGGGGGGAGGTCTGCACAAACCTCAAGTTTCATTTCTTGGTAAGCAAGACTGGGCCATTTCTTATATTCATGTGAACTGTTCTCACCATCACCCAACAATATTTGTGCCGTTGCCTTGCTTTAACCTTTGCTCTTTGGCCTCTATGATCTCAGGCACTTCAGTTGCAACCAAATCCACAGAGACCAGCCTTTGCCACTCACGTGAAGGCCTCATTAGAGACCAAGCAAGCCCAGTGAAGACCATAGCTAACAACTTTACTCATTACCTTGACATTTAAACAGTATTTCCCCCCCCCCTCCTCTGTATTACAGAGCCAAGAGTCACACATGAGTGGAAGGCACGGGTTACAAGTCTACTTCACATATAAATCAACTTGAATGTTTAAGGCATTTAAATCTCAACTTCAGAAATATGAAACATCAGAAAACCTCCAAACCCCTCACATAAAGTGAGCAGACACAACTGCGTTGGGTCCCAAGGCTGTCACTACATAAAAGTTCTGGTATCAGGACTTGTGCAAATTGCCTTGGGACAGTTTCAACTTTGTTTTGCAAGCCCATGGGAGAGGCTGGAGGTTTGATTTTATGCAAGATTTTAACAAGATTTGGCTTTTAGGCAAGAAAACCCAATCCACAGAAACAGACCTATAAAAGCATTGCCACCTTTTCAAACTGGGAGGGGGAGTAAACGTATACCTGGACTGGGCTTAGGAACCCTTGAGCTTTCCTACCAGAAATCATGTTCTTCATTGTATGAGGTCTTGAAAGCAAAGCTAGATAAAAACCCAACTTGTTCCAAGGTACCCTCACAAACAGTTATGTATCATGTTTTATTGTGCCACAAATCCGCAGCTTCAGACTGGACGTTTGAAAGCTCCTGAAGACCAGAAACATGTTAGTGCCGTATGTGATAGCTAAAGAGGAGAAATCATGGCCTTAGTACAGGAGAAATTTCTCCTTCTCTATCTTATTTTTCCCTAGATGAAAAGAGTAAAAAAAAGCCCGCAAAACAAAAACCAAGTTAACCCTCATGAAATATAGCATCATGCCTGGTTTCTGTCATCTGCTTGTGAGATCTTTTGGTCATAAGTTCCTGAATGGCATGAAAGATGAAATAAGATGCTTACTTTTCTAAACTATGCTATTCGTTACATTAATTCTTTTCCATGATCACCACTGAGCATCAGCTCAAGGACACAGAGTTAGTTGTACCCTTTCTCCTAGCTCTACGTTTTTAATACTTTTGCATGGGTGAGTGAGTTGACTTTGGTTGAATATCCTGAATGCTCGCATGCTTTGTCAGAAATCAATTTCTGACAAATTCTGATGGCAGCTCGACTCTGTGCCTATCACCTTGTCTAGGAGGCAGTACTACAGATTTCTAACCAAGTGCAAAGGTTGCCAGATCCACCTCCTCACTTTGTC